GGCGGGGAGCAAAGAGGCTTCTCAATTCAGCAAGCATACTGCATTACTTATTACAAGATGGACTTAACTGTTAAGGAATTTGAGATAATTCACAGTCTTAATCCAAAGCTGCATTCTTCCCTTTCCTCTACACCCATAATACTAACTCAAATAATTTAAAAATTATTTAATCAGTTCAAGCAACATCAGAAAGCATGTAATTTAAAAAAAAAAAAATAAGAGAAATAAGAAATTATTAATGTAAGGGGGTTTTTTTTTATTAATGTCAGGGAGTTTTCTTTCCTAAACACCTTATACTTAAAAAAAAAAAAAAAAAATCATTCTTCGGTACTGAACATAAATATATAGGCTGAGAACAAACTTTTTTTTTAAACCAAACTTTACTATAATGACCTTCTGTTTCACCTCCACTGAACACAAAACATTAATGAAGGCAACTGTAATGCAGGTATTAGATCACTGTTCTGAGCTGTATTAATTTGTTACATATACTATATGTATCATAGCAGCAGAATTTCATAGTGTTTATTTAACATTTTAGATTGGAGTGCAGTAACTAATTTTCTCCATGCAGGCATGCACTGCATGGACAAAACCCAACTTCATTGTGGTCAGCAATGGGCTAGAAAAGGGCATGAAATTCAGTCCTGTTTTGAAGTGAGTGACTCTACTGAAGTCAGTCATTTCATGGATAAACACAGTCCAACAGTGCTGCATCTTTCTTGCTTAGTTTTCTCCAAGTTCTCCTACACAGGCACAGAATTACAAATTTATGTTCACTGTCTGCAAGCAGCAACAGAAAAAAATAACTGAATGTTCAGGACAAATCCTGGATGACTCAGATTAGAAGCTTCCAGCGGCAAAGTTAACACCAAGCATGGATTTAATGCTATTTTCAAACTGCCTTATAAGGTTTTAAAAACCAATCTCATGACACTCAGAGAAGATGGTAATCCCCATTTTAACAAATGAAAGAGGCCTCAGAAGTGACAAACATCCACACTTAAATTCATCCACAACCGTATGTTTGAAAAAAAGAGAACATTTACCCTTGTAGCATAAAATGCAGAAAGTTAATAATAACACTTTTTGCAAATCAGAGGAGACAATAGTTTTTTACATGAAACTGACTGCCCAAAGGAATAGTCCAAGTCACCAGTGTAGTAACAACTCCACTCCTGAACACAGATTTAAACCCAAGCTAGAAATGCAAATAATTCAGAAATAACTAAAAAAGTACTGAGTCATTTTAGGAGTAGAAACTTCCCTTGTGCTGCGCAGTGCATGTGAACATCAAACTGTGTGATCCATTAGGTCTACAGCAGTACAGCTATGGCCTCCTTTGAAAAAAGAGGCCTAACTGGACAAGAGTATTTCTACAAGCCTTCTCAGAGGGGTGTAAACAGGTTAAACAGTATACCTAGGACAGTGTCTTTGATGGGGTGGGCAAAAACCTGCACCAAACACAAATCCGAGAGCTTCACTCACCTCTGCTACACTACTATGCTGAATTCAGGGACCGCAAAGTTATATATGCTTGTTCAGGGGCTGTGATAAAAAAACATTATGTGTAAGTTAACTGATAAATATTTAAGACTTCAAAATTCATACTGTTAAGGAACATCTTATACTACATTCTGAGCCTTTCTAAAAATCACTCAGAGAAAACCCACCACCAATAGCCACTTATCATCTGTTTGCTAAACAAAACCAGCAATTTCCGTATCTGTTTCAGTACCATTTACTACATGCATTCTATGTGTTGGGAATGGAACTTAACTTTATTGGACTTCTGCCCTTTTTCCCTATCTACCTTAAGTCTGACTCAGTAGAGAGAGAATGCCCCATGACTCAGTCTTTGCTACCAAGGGTGTTAAGGACTAGAAAGAAGTTCTGCTATCTTCTGGTACTTGCTTAAACCAGCAGAATTCCACCAGCGGTGTGTGTTGGGAGGGGGGCAGGGATGGGAGCTGGATGCGTAATTATCATCCTCAGAAGAATGCTTTTCAGGGCTCAGATGTTTACCCTTACTAAAGAAAGGGAGATGGAAGTTCTCTTTCAATCCAGAGCACATCTATGCAACTTCAAGTTCTCTTCTGCCTACACTCTGAAGTCATCTGGTTGAGCCAGCTTGACTTAATAAGCTACAAAGATACATTACTGATGCAAAGGATCTGAATGATAACTAACGCCTCTTATTTTGAGACTGACTCTACACCAACACTGCTTCTGGACCACAGATGGAATACAGGCTCTGTGTTCATTAGCACAACTATACAGTCTCCAAATTAGAGCTGCCTCACATGTTGTCAGCCTCCAGGATAGGCAAGAGAAGGAAGTCTTACATGTTTTTCTAACTGGATACGACATTTAACAGCCAAGCACCATTTTGCAAACAACACTAAGGTGTTGTGTAACTTCTAAAGACACAGACTCATTCGTGTTGAAACGAGAGTCAAGTTAATGGAAAAGGTAATAATTTCTTCTATGGGTGATTCAGGTTTTTTCCTATTCCGTTCCATGCCCACACCCCTGCCTAACACCACCACCCACCCCAAACATTCAGCTTCTGTAACTCAACATGCTGCGCTGCTCCCCTTTTCACAAATGAGCATCCACACACGTAATTTCCATATATTTAAACAAATCTGAGGCTTTTCACTCTGTTGATTTGTTCATGATTTATCTAGTAACTTCAAGATATAACTTATTAGTTTTTCAGTGAAGTCATAGCTTTCTGTATTTTCTCCAAGCATCGTCTTCAAATACTCAGGTGACACCAAGTGGTTAATTGTTGTACTGCTGTCTGTTCAGGACTACCATATGCAGTAGCAACTGAGTATTCTGTTATGTGAAAGTAAATACAGAAATACATACCACAAAAAAACCAGTGCTTTCAGATTGTTAATCATAGCAATGCAACTTTAGAATTCTATCAAAGCATCCCTTTCTCATTTACTCACCTCAGTCTGCTTATATGCTTTAAAAAGAAACAAAAAAACCCCAAAATTCTACACATCAAAAATTAAGTGGGAAAAAAAAATTAAGTTCCTGTAAGAGAAGTTACTTACAAGAAGGAATTACTCCTTGTGTCATCTTTTTACACTCATGCTTACAGTATGCTGTTTCCAAGAAGAAACACACTCAAACTTTCCTCAAAAATCACTGCTACTTATTAAAAAAAAAAAAAAACCACACACAAAAAAAACACGTAACAATCATTCAACATGCCAAACCATAAAACAGACACTTCAGTGAGACGGAGAGATCCTCTGTCACATTTAGCAACTCTTCTTTAGCTTCAGATATTTATTAATATAGTGTATATATTAAGTTGGAACAAAACCAACTTCCATAGATTAGACCCAGAAAAGGAACCCTATTTCTACACTCCCTAGGGCTATGTTTCAGTACTACAATGCCAACATCAAAAAGAGTTGTTATCAACATGAAAAAGGTGTATCTTTCAAAAGTCAGCCATGTAGGTTTGCTTTGAAATAGGGCTCTGCATGCTCTGTGTGGGGCCAAATCTCACAAACAAGAATGCACAGGGGCCAAAGAAAAACGTTTTATAGTTCAAAGGTAACAAAACAGCATTACTAGCACTAGGCCATTAGGTGGACAGATTTTACAAAACAATCCTGGGATTTGGAAATCCTGCTAAGTAATCACATTAATTGTGATCATGTGGCACAGTGAAGTGCTAAAAGGCTTTAAAATACTGTTAATTTAAATGCGTCTTAAAACGTTTTCCCTATAGCACTTCTAACTATAATTGAAAAGATTAAAAATAATCTCAATGCATGCTTTCTGCATTTTTTTTCAACTTGTTTGCATTTTGGATTTGACCACAGCTGTGAATAATCCTTCTTAGTCTAATATTTTTAATCGTTCTGGCAATTCTTTCTCAAAGAGGTATAGAAGAGAAAACATATTTAGATGATGTTATCTGTGAGCCACAAAATGGGCAAGTATGCATAGTCAAGCACAGAACCTGAAGCTGTCTTCATTCCTCTTTGAAGAAGGAGAACCTCACACCACTATTTCGAGTTTAGCATCCTTTTCACCTTTTGTGTTCAGATTGCATGGGTTATAAAGGTAGGGCCCTAATTTTCCTAGCTAGAAAAAAATTGAAACAGATACTCAGCCAGTAAAATGTCACACATAGAGTATACAAAACCAGGCACAGACACTTAGCTATTTCATTATTAAAAATAATTAATTGTCATCACTTTGACCAGGTGATGATACTTTCAGATGGAGGTGACCTACTAAGGCAAAACAAACATATCACTGTTGAAGTGGAGACAATGTATAAGGCTTTTTTTGGAGGTTCTTCTCTAAGACCTTTTGCAAAAATCAAAACCAAGGAGAAGCAAGATTCTAAGCATAAAGAAAAAGCTTGTTTACATTTCAATCATTGCAAAGAAAGGCATCACAGTCAAGTCTGAAGTAAGTCTGCTACTAAACCCATCCAAAACAAAACTCACCACAGCCTAAGTATCAAGAGACTGCCAGAACAAGTGCTGCATAGCAGTATGAGGAGTAGAAGGATGGCAGCACTATTTTAACAGTTTGCTATCAGCAGTAGCTTTTCCAACCCACGAAAACTAGAACAAGTGACAAAAAAGGGGGGGGAAAAAAAAAAAAAAAGAAAAACAAACAGGGGGGGAAGGGGGGTTAAAAAAAAAGGGGGGGGGAGGGGACTGCCCTTTTTCAGGAAAAGAAGTGTCCGTCTTAAAGCATTTATCAGAAACTGAAGCAGTAATCACTAACACATGATTCCACTTTAACTTTCAGTTACTATTTCTGCTTCCATTTCCCTGAAAATTTAGTTTCACTGAGCCAAAATTATCAAGTGAAAGTATTTTAATAAACACTTCTTTATCTGTTCTCTTTTCTCCTCCTTACATTCCTAAAGAAGGATCAAGCTTCACATCTTGTGGATGCAGTCCTGGGCCCCATATGCATGCACAGCTCATCAGAAAATTACTAGTTACAGGATTGTACAATCTCCCTGGGCTTCTCATCCAGTGCAGCACTGTACAGGATCAGAAAGCCTGACATCTCAGATGCTGCCTGGCCCACACACAGTAGGCAGTATCCATACAGAATGTCATTCCTTTCAAACCTGGAAGTCCATAGCTTAAGAAGGAATGGTATTCTAAACCAAAATGTGCAAACACCCCCACAGCAGTCTAATAAACATAAATAATAGTAACTGAAGCACAACCTGCTTGAACTTCCTAGATATTATAAAAAACTTGGAAAGAACTTGCCTACCACCACTCCAAAAAAACTAAACACTCCCTACCAAGGAACTCTGGCATTGCTCCAATCCTGAATAATAATTTAAAAAAATACTAAATTAAAAAAAGAAAAAAACAAGAATAACCAAAAAACACCCATAACCCAAACCCCACCTTTCTACACTCAATTAGACAAGACTAGTTTGTATTATCTGAACAAGCCTATCATCTCCAATATAATTCTTCAGAGAAAGAAAAAAAAAAAAGAACAACCAAACACACCACACAACACACACTGCCTCTAGGATTCATTGAAACTTTTTTTTTGCGCAATTTCAGAAAAATACTTCCATTGTTTTATAAAAGGCTAGCAAGAATCCATTTCATGATACATTATCTACTGATCTAGTCATGCTGAAAGAAACCATGCAACAAATACATAAGAACATTACTCAGCAGATGAGAGAAATGATGCTGACGGTGCACAATAGTTGCATCATTAAAAAGATCAGTCCTATCTCTTCAACTATACCAAGATGTAGAGGCCAGAAAAAGAGCTAACTAAGCAGAAGAGAAACTGTTCAAAAGAACAAGTGGAATAAGTTATACAAAGCTTTGCCTGGAAGTATAAGAAATTTTCAAACCATTATGGTACAGCTCTGTAACAGCCTGCAGAGACCTACAGTACCAAAGAGCCAAAATTCTGATTTCTTTGAGGATGAAGTTTGATCAGATGATGACTGCAATTACTAATTAAACAACCTGGCACTAGAAATCAGTTGCTGTATTCTAAATGGTATGTGCTGAATGTTCTGAAAAAATGCTGGGCAGGAACTAGATGGCAAAAGTGTTATGTTTTGTATCATTTATGTCTTTCACTTTATAGAGCAACAGGGATGATGCTGTCAGCAGTGCAGTGATCTGTCTTCTTAGTTATGAAGAGATTTTAGCACAGCTTTTCATAACAGAAAGATTTCTCCTTTTTTAGTAGTTGCATTCAAATTTTAAGACACTAAATGTATATAAATTAAGATTCTAGACTTAGAAAGAAACAAATAACTGTATCCCTATTTTCTCTCATTTTCTGGCTTGAACAAAAAATGAACAAACCCTGAATGACAGCAGTCTTTATTCAAAATTAATACATGTAGAACCATGTAAAGATGCTCTGCTATAGCCTTAAAAATGTCTATGAAGATGAATCAAAAAAGCTTTCGAAACCTATTTATTTATCCAGAACATGGAACTACCACCCCTGTTTTCCCTATCGATAAACCAAGAACACCAACAGCCTTTCAAATAAATTTCCAGCGCCATAATCATCACACAGATGACCTTATAGTTAAGTCACATAACATGTTATCTAGTTCTTCCTTATAAATCATTACAGTAGATAAGGCTAAGCAAAAGTGACACTAGCATTGCACTGTATAGATGTTTGTAAGTGTTTCTTCAGTATTCTCACCTGATGGGCCAGACTCAGATGACTATACAACAAACAATTCTTCTGTAGACTAACTTATACTTTATATAGATATACACACAGAAGCCAAGATATATACATAAAGAACAACTTTAACTTTTCTAGCTTCAGTTCTTAAGAACTAGTGGAAAGCATTTATGCTTACCTAGATGTAGAAGTGTAAATTGTGCTGCCAACTCCTTTGCATCTTCTACTGTTGTGGAGAGTTTGTCTGGCATGAAGTAACTCTGGGAACTATCTGCCATACTAGTAATAATCACCTTGTACACCAAGAGTATTTTCCCATCCTGACTTGTGGTTGAATACAAGTAGTATTCTGGTGGTGCCCAGTTATTTTTATTGCAAAAATAATCCAGATGCATTGCTGCAGAACTGAAGTGACTGGACTTTAAGGAATACATGCTAATTGGTGTAAGCTTTGCTCCTGGAAAAACCAGGTATGTACATCTTTCATCCTCAGGGGGCTCTGGACTGGGCTGACGATTAAGACAAACTGAAAGACTTACTGGTTGCCCTAAGGATTTTTGATAACCTTCTTCTTTGTTAGGAAACCATAACAGACTTTCAGAACGAGGACTTATCTGGCCATTAAAATGTTGTTTCCATGTACTTTCTTTGTTAACTGGCTTTGCCAGTGTTACCTCAATACTAGCTCCATCAATGCACTTTCCATTCATTACAGACATAGCAGCAACTGCATCTTCTCGGTGGAAAAAATGAACAAATGCATAATCTCTCAGCTTCTTCACACGTTCAACTACTCCTGGCTTGAACTTGTTGAACTCAGCTTTAATGGTGTCCTCTGTAGTAGAAATCATTAAATTTCTCACATATAATACTTTAACTCTCTGCATTGTTTCTTCATCAGCTTCTTTCTCAGGTTCTGCCCAGTCTACCACAACAGTATGGCCCCAGAGCTGGAATGTTCCTACAGCAAAGCAGCATTGCAGCAATCAGAAATATGCAAAGAAAAACAAAATCGTTCTTATGAACTACCTCTACAAAAAGCAAAATACAATGCATGCCCCATTAAATGTTTTTTGTTGCCCGCATCTACTTAAGCAAAACATGTAAACTGTTGAAATTATTAAAGAAAATAAGACTCTGAAAACATTTGAAGTGTTCTATCTGTACTCTTTGGGTTCATTAAGCAACATAAGCTGTCAAAACACAGACCTCATCATTTTGTGAGATGTATATACACACATATATAAAGCAACTATAAGCAATGTATTAGTTTACTAGTTCATAAACAGAGCCTCTTCAATAATATTACCACTTTAAATAAGGTCAACACCTGGAAAAAGTAATTTAAGTGTATACGCACTAGCACAAGCTTTACTCTGTGTTGCAGCAGTCTATGAAACCATAAACTAAAAAAACCCACCAAACTCCACCTCATTACTCATTTCAAGCCAACATTTTGTATATCACACAACTAGTTCATTTTACATTCAATGATCTAGTCATATTTCTCCCAGTACTTGGCAAGGCCCATACATGTCTTAGGTACTCCTTCCTAACGCTGCCAGCAACCAACACGAGACTTGCCTATACCTTAACCTTAAACACTGGCAGTTTTGTCATTCATTTCAGCAAGGGCAATGCTGTATTATCTGTTTTAATGGCTTTGCTTCTTCAACTATACTGTTTAATTTCCTCCCTATTTAACTTCTTTCTCTTCTAGAATTTCCCTTTTTTACCGTACCTTTACCTATTCCCTCCTTTTTCAGTACATTTAAGTCCTTCTGCTTTCCTTCCCTCGAAACATAAATTAAGGCGCAAGAGAAAGTCATCTTCTACTTGTTAAACTCTTAAAATTATTTTCTAGTAAAAGATTAAATACCTACTTTGAAGCATTTTTAAAATACAAAACATCAGTAACATCACTCATGACACTGAAGGAAAATAAAGGACACATCCCAAGCATTGTATTTCTTAAGCTCAGCTTTAAAAGAATTCATGTGCAGAGACTAGGTGCATGCAAATGAAAACTGGATGAGTGCCCAAGCAAATACCTATCTTGGTGTAAATTACAGTAACTTGCGTTTGTAAGAGACGTCTTCTCTTTCACTCTCAGACCTGCTTAAATTTCAACAACCAAGAAAATCCTGATTCATAAACAACGACAAAAAAATCCTCTTTAGCTAAAAAGCACTACTGCAGGTTTTATAACTCAAAATACGTTGAAGACAGGAAAACAAAGATGATCCTCACTCCCTGCAAAACACATACAGGCACTCCCCCAAAAACTCAGATTAATTACAAGTAGACTTACCTGGGACCAGCCGCCTTCTAGCCATTGCAGCTGCTCTGTGAGATTCATATTCTACAAAAGCAAAGCCACGATTCTTAGTTTTGTCACTGGCATTCGGATAAACAATTACATCCATCACTCCTTCCGTAACTTTTTTCATTTCATTCAGTATTTCTTCTTTCTTCTTTTCTTTTGGAATTGCTCCAATAAATAGCCTGCAGTTGTCCAAGCTTGTGCAGACACCCATAAACTTTCCTGGACGAATTTCATAATTATTAAGGATCTTGATGGCTAGCTGGGCTTCCTCTTTCGTAGTGTACATCACAAAAGCATAGCCTCGATTCTCACCACTGAATTCTAACATCAGTCTGAACTCATAGATCTTCCCAGCTCTCTCGAAAACAGGAACTAATTCATCTTCATACATATCACGAGGAATCTTACCCACAAAAACTTCACATCCACGCGGTGGTGGTGGACCTTCCCAACCTTAAAACAAATTAATCAACAACAATCTTAATACAAATGCCAGATAGGCACACTTCCACCCATCATAATTTGGAGGTGTGAGTTATTTATTTTTAGTGTTAACTTAAAACTAGCATATTCTCCTCCATTATTTATTATTTTTCTTATGTCTATATTATAAAATGCTATAAGCCCCTGATTTGTGGAGGTTTTTTTTTTAAATTCCTTCTCCTGGATTTTTCACTGGAATCTGTTGGTAACCCACTGAACCTAGCATTATTTAAAACACTAACAGGTTTGCTGTAAGAGTCTACATTTCAATCATTTTTTGCCCCTTAAAATTATATATCAGTTATTAACACAACTGATAGGTGATAACTGAGAAACATTATTTTCTCTTCAAACATTATAAAGTTGCAAATGTTTCTCTGCACTACTTGCCCATATTTTAAGAAATTTTGGCTAGGGTCCTCAGTACAGTAATTTTTAAATCCTTGACATCATTCAAAACACTTTGGTTCTACCTTCTCTGCTCAACCACCAAAATGGGACTTCCCTAAGGAAGGTAGGATATGGAGCCACCCTTTCTTCAATAGCTAAAAAGATTGAACACTTTTCCTCTAACAACTGACCAGAGTTTTCACTGGTTGGAGCTTGGTGGTAGGAAAAAATGAAATTAAAAAAATCCACTGAACAAGCCTAGTTCACATCTAAAAGTTACAAGAAGATCCATGCTTCTGTCCTTAAGGCAAGGACATTCATACACTCTTTGATATCTCTGCCATGTACGCTGAAAGGTATGTTCAACGTGGAGTTACAGTCTGCAAATATGGCACTCCATTTTCCCAAAACATGCATGAAAAAAAAAGCTTAGTTGGGGGGTGTGTGTGTGTTTGGTTAGGTTTGGTTTTTTCCTTTTTGCAATTTTATTTTTAAATCAGGCAGACAAACAGTTAAATCATACCTAAGAGCTTTTTCTAAAGCTCTGACAAGAAAGGTTCTCATCAGGAAGAAAGCAAGGAGTAGAAAGGTGGTGAAAAACCACAAAATTTGGCCAGTAAGTACTACTATGAAATGCAGAGCATAAGGAGGCAAGGTGGAAAAAAAATACTGTTGACAAGTTAAAACAAGAAGATAATGATGTATTTTATTTTACTTGAAGTTGAGAAAAAAATTATATTTAGGTGATTTTGTAATTAACTTAATTTTTTTTCCTTCAGGTTAAGTATCAAAGAGCACATAATTTACTCGTGAACAAGAAATTTAACAGAATTGAGAAATTTTTGCCTTCTCACAGCGTAAATTTTCATCTATAAGCTGTACACCAAGAACTACAAGGCACACAGGGAAGCTACCAAGGCATCAGAACTGATATGCATTTGATGCCACACTGCCATGGCTTATCTAGGAAAACGTTTGGCTCCGTTCCACGCAGCATTCAACTTCTTTGTGATTTTCAGCTTTAAACACATTTATGACCATTTCAGCTAAGGTCTGACAGGACATGGCAAGTGGCACAGTCTGCAAGCCAGTAATGCTATCACTCACATTGTACCAGTCGGTTACCCACATAAAAAAAAATCAAAAACCAACAGTACACCATTTAGGAGCTTTTGAAGTCATGAAATTAAACAACAAAGTATGTTTATTAACTAGACAAACTTTTACCATCATCCTCAGTCTGCTAACTAATTAAACAGTAACTCTCAGCAAGTAAAAGCCACCTACCATTCAAAAAGCCACCTTTCTAATTTCAAAGCTGCACACTAGTTTAGCATTATAGCACACTACTCCCAGTGGCAGTAAGTTATGACTCCTGACAAACAAAATATGGTCTGTGCCGCATTTGCCAAGGAGTGACATATATGTAACAGAGCAAACACAGAAACAGTTAACCAAAAGCACCTCTCCTCAAGTCCTTAACAACTGACCAGAGTTTCCTTGACTGGCCACTTGATTCATCACTGAACAACAGATTATGGGATTACTTTCTTTGCAGCAGTTCAAGTAACCAAAATGCAATCAACATTGTAATTAGAATCCTCCCACTGTTACTGAGATCCATGCCATCTCAGATTCTCTTCCATGACTTACACACCTAATGACATCATTATGTCTGCATCAATACCTACACAGAGGATCCAAACAAAACAATAACAATTTGTGCCCCCTTTTTTTTTTTTCTTTTTTTAAAGACGCTCTACAGATACATTTTCCACAACTGGCATAAGCTGAACAAGAACTATGCGACTGCCAACTGAAGTTGAAAAAAAAAAAATCATTTTTTAGGGTACTTTTAAGCCAGACCTGATGTCTGTCAGTCAGATAAACAAGACAGTAACAGTAAGACTATCTCCTTTGGTAGCAACACAAGATTATAGAAACCACATCTTAAGCGAGCAAAATTCACAATAGGATTCTTCACTTACAGTTACTGTAATGTCTTACAAGCCACCTCAAACACTCAAGTCTCATCTGGCCTAGAAAACCATTTATAGTAACTTAGAGTAATTTCCAACTTAAACAAGTATGAAAATGCATGCAGATTTAGAGGAGAGGTATGTAATTAATGCCAATGAAAACATTTGTGGAAGATAAACCTTACCAAACATATCCAGTTTCAGAAAAGATTAATAAATTTAATTAATAAGTGTAACATTGCCAAAACAAATACACTTAATACTGCCTAATGTTCTAACTAAAAAAATCATAATTCTAATGTAAAAAATGTATTAAATAATTTAAGAACAGGCTGAGCCCTCAAGTCAGTGATGCCCTGCAGTTCTTTTTCCAGTGCCATTTACAAAATAACTTCATAGGGCTTTCTTCGGCTATTTTATATATGCTAGTAAAAGTAGGTACATAATTTTAGACAGAAAAACCTCCAAAGAGAAGTAATTTTGAAGCAGCTACATATAGCTACATATAGCAATGAGCAATACAAGTGAGAGTTATAAAGATATGGGATCACAAAGCCACAAGTGAGAATGAACTGAAACAGCAGCACAAAGAATTTTCCTCTTTCTGCTTGTGTAAACCCATAATCTGACCCACAAAGAGTTACTGTATCCGTGTGATAGAACCAGGACTAATCACAAAATTCATGTACATTGCTGATGTCAACAACACTGGAAAAATTACTCGAAACAAAATAAATGCTTCATGAAGATTTAAGGCATTTGATTCATCTCATCAGTGTAACAAATGTTAAGATAAAGGTAACTCACAGAGCGTTATTACAGAGAATTACAGGTACTAGCTACTTCATCAAGAAAATCTGAGAAAACTATTGGACTAGAAAAAAAAGCACAAATTCAGCATGAACGATGCTACCCACTCTAACAAGCTAAACGTAGGAATAGATAATCCACATTTTAAAGTTCTCAAATATCAAGCCCAGATACTTTTCTGAAAATGTGTCTTAGCCAAAAGAAGTGATCAGGCTCAATGCAATAATAACTGACCAGAAAGTAAATGTGCAAGATAAGCAGAATTCAAGCTAAATGATGTAGAAGCCACTTACTTTCTTAACATATGACTGAGAAGAACAAAATTATTTGGGAAATAAATTTTAACCATTGAATAGGGGAATAATGACAAAAAAAGAAGTTAGGGAAAAAAAAGAATTTGTATCTACTGAACTACTCCTCTTCCTCCAGTCCAGCGTGTTCACTCAATAACAAATTCAGTCATTTGGGGTTTATCCACTTATTTCACATACTTTTGGCCTTCGCAGCACAAGATATATGAATGTTGGAAAATAGTCAGTTTAAGTATAGATTAAAGTTGAGTAACCTTGCACCAACTTCAAACATAAACACATTTTATCAGTCCCTTTATCTTAAAAATAAAGTCATTTAAATTTTCTTTGGAAAGCAAATTTAAAGTGCTGAACAAAGGCTTTTTCTGGCACTACCTGTAAGTGTTACTACTTTTCCATAAACTATACCTGTAGCAGCAGTTTCAGCAAAAGTATTTTAGCAGGGGATAGGGCAATTTGAAGAGATTCATTATTGCTAAAAGTTACTTAATCACAGTATCAGACATGTTTCTGAAATAGTTTTATCTTGTGCATTAAATGCTAAGTCTTCCAGTACAGTAATATCCTGAAATGTGTTTACTAAATCAAATAGCCATTGTTTCCAAATTGCAATGTACATATTACAAATACTGCAGGACTTAATTCTACTTTTTTGGTCAATGATTGTAGTGGAAATATAATTGGGAATATAGAAAAACATTTTGGTGACAGAATTTGTTTTCACTGCAGCAATAACTTTCTAGTTCAGGTGCCTAAGTCTCCTGCTTGCACCGTGACAATAAACCCCGAACAATTAACCAAGATGATGACTCTAGTTTTTAGAGCATCAAAACAATCTCTGTTATTCTCTGATTTTTATCAACTGTTATTTTCTGTTCACACATGGATACACATTCAACAATTTCTGTTTTCCAGTGTATTAAGGGAAAGAACAGTAACACATGAATAATAAACTCTTACGGTTGTACTTCACTATTAAAAACACAAACAATGAATGATAAAAGCTCCAGAAGCTCATCACATCAATTTTTCTTCTCAGAGTAAAGGGGTAGGGGGGAGGAGTCTAGGTTATGTTAGCTACGGAAAACAGATTAGTCAGCTCTGAAAACAAAATGAGGCAGTACCAGCGAAGCTAAAGTAGCCTATGTCTGCTATCACCAACCTGGTTTTCCCTCCTGTGCCACTAAGCATTTTCAAGCCTGTTCTCAGTCATATGGAACGCACTCAGTATTTTCAGCTCCACATTTGCTTTGCTACTCGTCAACTTTAGCTGCTTTTTGAGCTGTGACATCCACCAAAAGCAAATGTTCAACATAGTACAAGAGATCTCAAAATGCTGGAAAATGAGAAGCATATCAGGATCCTCCTTTTTTTTTTATCTACTGCTGGTCACTGCCAAGATACAGGACAAGAGGATACACAAATTTTCAATCTGATTGAGTGTAGCACTCCTTACAGAAAATAAACTCCAACGCTGTAATCTCAAAAGAAATGCTTACCTGGTGGAGGACCACCGAATCTTCTTTGCCCATTTTCTTGAATCATGTTGTATCCAGTCTTCTCCATCAGGGCCAGTAAAGCAGCCTCATTTGGAGTGCCACTTCGGATTTTGCCACATCTGTTTGCTGCAGCTTTATTTTCCTTATGCATATCTGCAATAGCTTTGACAGAACACTGCAGGCATTTCAATTCGGATAATTCAAAATTGGTTTATGTATACAGAAGCTACCACAGCAGAGAAAAACAACTTATGCTATACTTGCCTATTTACTGTCACTTTGTCTAGTGTAAGACTTCAATCCTACATCCAACTACTATCATCTATGTATTTGCTTTCAAAACATTGTTCTGGAGCTGTGATAATCTAGAACTTTAACCAGCAACTATATATTCTATATTCAAACTTTCCTAAGTGGCATCACAACTGTTTTATAAGATGCTGCCCTCTAAGTAGAATAATGAATTCTTTCATAAATCATGTTATGACATTTGTAAAGAGACCTGTATGTTACTCAATCTGACAATTTTCACTTTCTTACTCCTACATTTTATAGAAATACCAATAATTTTTTTAAAAATATTCTTATACTAAAATACTTAAGAAATACATTGTCCATGTCTAATTCATATAAAGAATTCATGTACAAAACTAATTTAATTAAAACCAATATATAATAAAACCAGGCAGAACTGTCTGACAAAACTCAGAGGTTGAAATAACCCCACCTCTGGGGTCCTTATTCTCATGATGCTAACCACTTTCACAACTTCCAAACCAGTAAAGTTTATCAATATAGCTGTTTCTGCTCTATCCACTATTTCCCTGGCTTGCTAAGATCCCTTACAAAAGCTTCAGGTTTCTGACATCCAGGTGATGGAAAACAATCACAAGGAACCTATTTAATGATTACCAAACTTTACTAGTCAAGCCCCCCCCCCCCCCCAAAAAAAATTTTTAAATCTTTTTTTTTTTTTTTCCCCACTGCCTCTTTTTCCTTCCCCAATTTACGTCTTCTTTTCCCAAGATTTTCTATCTTAAAGTCTACAATAGTTAGACAAACAATCTTCTCCAACACTCCAACCCTTTGCCCAAATCCTATGTCCAAGTGCTATGCTACTCATTCTCCAAAAGAAATGCTGCCCAAAAAGAATCACCTCCAGAACAGTAAGCCACCACTCCTGTTCGTTCTTTAGTGTCCCTTGTATTTTCAGCCTGCTTTGTCTTGAGGGTCAGGTCAGGTTCCAATAAATAATGTCCCAAGACACCAGCATTTTTTTCCCCCCCCCAAAAAAAAACAGTAAAACCAGATTAATTTTCACACAAATGTTTCTTGTCAACTCACTATTATTTGCTGAACAATAAGGCTTCCTAGACAGTTACAGCTGCATCCTTTGTCTACAGTCTGAGGCTGAAGCCACCTTCTTGTCTTCTGCTTCTCACTTCTGGTGCTTTTGTACTAACTAAACTATTACTTTTAGCTTGGTGATCCAAATGAGCACTGTCATCTACACAGATTATTTATTTTACCTGACAGCTGACTATGTAAATTCCTATCACTAGCAAAAACAAGAATTAGTAAAAAAAAAAAAAAAAAAAAGCCATACATAGTAGTTAATTTACCAAATGTTATCCCACCCATCTTTATATATAAAGGTTTTCAGATGATTGCTAGTCACACCAAGCAAGCTTTTGCCTCCATACTCAAAATACTAACCATCGCTGTTGTTGCTAGTCCTTTCATTCTTAACTTAGTCAAACCACTGAGAACTACCCCAGTATCTCAAAATTATTTTGCATAAATTGAAGTATTTCAAAAGATTATACATTACATTTATGGAGTGATTAAGCCCCTTCCACTGACAAATTTATGCCTGTTAAGCAATGATATTACTGTCTAGAGATGACTGTCCCCCCCTCCTTTCAAGAGCTTAGTCATTTCAAATGTGCTTTGGATCAAAATAATAATAATGAAACTATTCTTCAGTGTATCCCTTTCAAAACAGCCTTCATAGGCCATTATATGAATTCAGACTCTACACATTCCTTGATTGGAACGGTGATGGATTAAACATAACTGCAATTTTTTCCATCCTAGAAAAAGAAGACTTTTGGTGGATATTTTGTGTTTTCTATCAAGCTGGTATTCACTTTGAGGCAGAAATCCATGCAAGCAACCAGTCTGGAGAAGTTTATGTGACACCAATCACTGGTCACTAAAAAAGTCAAACCTCAAACAACTCCTGGCTTCATCAGGAGATTCCACAACAGAAGGAGCGCAGAGCACAACCAAATCCCCGACAAGCAACAGCAGTAACAGCATAGCTCCCATGTACTACAAACGGTGTTCCATCTCCTTTCAGCAAGGGAACTACGTTCACTGTTGTTTCACTGCCCACAAGCTACAAAGGGATGCTGTAAGCAGTTAGTTACAGGCCTAACCCCCCCGCGGTTAGTTACAGGCCTAACCCCCCCGCGGTTAGTTACAGGCCTAACCCCCCCGCGGTTAGTTACAGGCCTAACCCCCCCGCGGTTAGTTACAGGCCTAACCCCCCCCCGCAGTTAGTTACAGGCCTAGCCCCCCCCTAACTAACTTAGTTACAGGCCTAACCCGGTATGGAAACGACAACAACTAAGGTGGGCAATGGAGAGATCAAATAAGTTTCCCTTTGCCTCAGTGCATTCAAACACCCATCCAAGAAGAACGCTTTCTGGTAAGAGCTGCCAGGTAACACCAGGCTAAGGCCCTCGGGGCTGGTGAGGGTGCCCACAGCGCCCCCGGAGCGGTGAGGAGGCACTGCGGCGTTAGGACAAGAGACCGGGGGCGGAAGCAAGCGGACCACGGCCAGGCCCCAGGGCGCAAACGCTACCTGAGGAGGCAAGGCGGCATACAGCACAGGGAGCGAGAAACATAGCAACCCCAGGTATACCCTGCGCTACTCGCGCGGCCTTGTACACTGAGGGCAGCCATCGCG